GAGATAAACAACTTAAGGGGGGAAAGATTTATATTGGCTCATGGTGTCAGAGATTACAATCCACCATCACTTGTCTCCATTGCTTCTGGGTTCCTGTGTGGCAAAGATGAACATCATGGCAGGGAGCTGTGGTGGAGCAAAGTGTCTCACCTCTTAATTTCTACCACTTGGAAATAATGCCATGAATTTATGAATATATCAACAAATTAATCCACCGCTGGGTTAGAGCCCTCACGGTTCAACCACTTCCCAAAAGCTGGCAGCGAAACCTTTAACACAAGAGTCTTTGTGTGACATTTCAAAGACTCTACTATACAGCACAGCAACTCCAGTTTAAGGTATTTGCCCAAGAGAAATGAAAGCATTTCTATACCATAAGACATAAAAAATATTCGTAGTAACTTTATTTATAATAGTCCTAAAGTAGAAATACTTTCTTTCTAAAAAATAGCTATTTGGGTTTTTTGCATGGATAGCCACATGGATTAATGAAAAATAGTAATTAGAATCATTTTTGAAGCAGAGATTACAAATCTCCTTTAATGTTTACTATTGAATGGAGAATGTTAAAGTGAAATCTATTTCCTTAACTCAACATTGATGAGGTCTTTTCTGATTTACATTTGAAAAATTTGACATAAGCCAAACATTTATTCAAAGTTTAAGCTTCACAAGTATATTGGGTTGTTTTCAGAAATTCGATCATTCAAAGACTTTTGATCCTTTCAAAAAACTTAAGGCAAAATGACTTGCTGAAGTAGCTTATGTGCTATTCACCCTTAAGTCCTAGAGATAAAATGTTAAATGCAGTCCTTCATTTAGTGAAGGTTACAGTTTAGTAAAGATGATAGAAGACATACAAACAGATAACATCATTTAAGATAATATAATTTTGGAAAATGTAGACAAAAAAGCTGGTAAGCACAACAGATTTAGCAAGCTAAGGTGAGCTGCAGCTATTTTCATGGTACAATTGGGAAAACCTCATTGAGGCTTGCACACTTTGAGATCTGAGTAGCATGAGGAAACTAGTCATGTGATGACTGAAGAAAAGACACCCCAGAGAGCCAGAAAAGCACCAAAACAAGTTCAATTGAATAGGAGAAAAATTTCTGAATTGCACGGCACTGAATGGTAAAGTGGTTCATAATGTTTCATTCAACATTTTAACAAACTCTACTTGTAGCCAAAGAAGTAGAAATGACCTTCAGAAATACCTGATGGGCTGCAGTCCAGAGCTTGCCTTCTTTGACAGCTTCCTGCTCCTGATTAGCTAATGCTTTGGTTGCCATGATGCTTAAGACTGACTAGTTGTTACAAGCGTATAAGAACTGTTATGTTAGGTTGCAGTTTCTTTTCATACTAAATTAGATTATATTTATTATGTACAGAGGCAACTTTAGGCCAAACTCTGTTTAACAACAGGAACTGCTGAAGCTTTGATTTAGGGACGAACTTGGATGATCAGACAGATTATGATTTTTGCCTTTTCTTATTTGTATTTTATGAGAATTAAAAGGAGATTTTTGAACTAATTTGTAATTAGTTCAGGTAGTTCCTAAACATTTCACTCTATTTCCCTAATGGTAGAATATGATTAATATGATAATAATGTATTCAAAATCAAGAAACTGACATTAGAAAACTGCTATTAACTAGATTAAAGATCTTACTCAGATTTTACTTGTTTTACAACCAGAATCCATTTTGTATTCCAGGATTGCATTTTATAATCAGTTGTTTTTTCTCCTTACTCTTCTCTAGTCTCTTCTCAATTCTTTCCTTTAGTTGCATTTTATGACTGAGAATTTTTTTTATTGTTTTATTATTCATATGTGCATACAACACTTGGGTCATTTCTCCTCCCTGCCCCCACCACCTCCCTTACCACCCACTCTTCCCCCTCCCTCTCCACCCCCTCAATACCCAGCAGAAACTATTTTGCCCTTATCTCTAATTTTGTTGAAGAGAGAACATAAGCAACATAAGCAATAATATGAAGGAACAAGGGTTTTTGCTAGTTGAGGTAAGGATAGCTATATAGGGAGTTGACTCACATTGATTTCCTGTGCGTGTGTGTTACCTTCTAGGTTAATTCTTTTTGAGCTAACCTTTTCTCTAGTTCCTGGTCCCCTTTTCCTTTTTGAAGAATATTAGTTATTTTGTAGAAATATTTCAGTTCTGTTTGCTTCATCTTTTTACATGATTGGAATGATGTTATACATTGTCACAATTTCCACAGAAATGTGTTCTTTTCTAAGTGCCTTGCACTGAAGTGTTCATGATGTCTTTGTACTAGTGATTTGAATTTTGCTCTCTTGGGTAGGGTAATGTCAGTCAGTTTACTACACTGTGACATTATATCTCCTTTTGCAGTTGCTAAATACTTAATCGAGAGTTTGCAGCAATGTAAATTCTGCTCCTCCTCAAATTTCTGTTCACAAATTTTAGATTTTATCTACAAAGAATTTTGTGTGTTTTTCGCCTCATGGTTGTTTTCTATTTACCTATAATTAATTTGTAATTTTACTATAAGAGGTTATGTTTCTCCTCATTTCTTTATTCAGTCACTAATAAACAATTCGGGCTTATTTGTTTGATTTGATGTCATTGTGTATTTTGTTGCTCAAATAGGTCCTACTTTGGACACTGAGCTCCTTAAAATTAGCTTCTCTGTGTTTTTGCTGTTACTGCTGCAATGACAAACTGTTTTAAAATCACTTCCTTTCTTTCTCGCACTACAAGAAGTTCTAGGATTCTTTTGCATTTTCCTCCAGCCATGGAAACAACTATGTCTCCATGAAACAATAAGAAATCACAGAATTGAAGTTTACTAATTTGGAACAACGATAGAAAGAATAAGTGTCTAATAGTGTAGCTACTGAGTCTGAGCAAACAGCTCATAGTGAGTTCGTTATTTTCCTCAGATGCTTTTGGTATGTCTTACCACACTGTTGGACGATTGTAAGTACTTTAGTATTATTTCTCTGAATATAAAACCTGTTAACAAAAATTGTTATCTCTACATAATTTTTAATTTTTCACATTCACATTCAGCTTGTATACTTATTATCATTTGTGCTAGATAATCTATTCAGACATGAACAACCACAATTTCAATTAACAGTTAAATTTATATTATTTATAGTGACTCAGATTATTCTATAACAGAATTTTTAAAATTATTCATTTATTCACATGTGCATACATTGTTTGGGTCATTTGTCCCTCCTGCCCCCATCCCCACCCTCTCCCCACTGCCCTCCCTTCCAGGCAGAACCTATTCTGCACTTTTCTCTTCCGTTGAAGAGTAGAAATAAGCAATAATAAGAAAGACATAGATAGCATTTTTGCTAGTTGAGATAAGGACAGCTATACAGAGAGATTCCTAGCATTGCTTACATGAACACATGTGTTAAAACCAAGGTTGATTCATCTCTAACTGATCTTAACACTGGTTCTTGAACCCTTTCTAGTGTTGATCTCTGTCACTTTAAGGTTTCTGTATTAATTCCTCTGGCGTGCTAACTTAAAACTCTATAACTGTGGAGCATATTACAACTATTAAAATAGCAATGTACTAATTCTTACAATTAACTTATGAAATTTTAAACTAAGGACTATTTACTCCAAAAGTATAAATTGTTCATGTTATAATATTAGGACAACTTGATACCTCTCTAATATATTCTACTACACAATCACTTTTCTTAACTTGTCAAAAATTCTCCTTTGTCCATGTTAAATAATTTTGGAAATCTTACCTTGATAAGGACAAAATATTTGTGACTATGATTAACTAGTTGCATATTATAAGATGAGAAAATAACAATATATGTAGATAAATGAAAAGAATCATAATTTTTGAGTCAAAAAAGCATTATCTGATTAATATCTCTTCATATCTGCTGAAGGGATATATTAAAATGAAAATCTTGAAGAATTATATTCATAACTTAATTAGAGTATATTTTGACCAAATCTGTACAAATTTCTAGAAAACAACAGGATCCTATTCTTGTGGGTAACTCATTTATTTGAAGTTAAAGAGAGGAATAGGTAAAGTTAAATACTATTTCTAGTTCAAATAACTAGAAACTAATTTGACTTGATGATCCAGTGTTATGTTGTAGTAAATTTTTCTCAAGAAGATGGAGAAACAGCTAATATTGATTGGGTTTGTTAGGAACAAACAAGTTCAAGAGCTGAACTTGAATTGATGTTTTAATAAAATGTAGTATGTTGATGGGCAGATCATGTATGTAGTATGACAGCACAATCAGTGATATTCCTTTGACTCAACTATTCACTGAGAGCTAATTGATCTATATGCCTTCATTAAGTGGTCAGGACATTTACTGAGTCCTTGTCATCAGTGAAGAACAGTACTTACCATGAATACTGAGTATTGTCAAAAACTAAGAAAGAACTCTATGCAGGCTTTGGACTGCAGTAGGTACAGTTATTAGTATTCACTAGTGAAATGGGAAAAAACAAAAAATACAAATCAATAAAAAGAAGAAAACAATTGAAATCAATTTAATTCTTATTCTTATAGTTCATACTTTTGTTTATGTTTGTGTTGTTGACTAATAAATTGCGTGTGAAGAGGATATTTTTACAGTAAGTTACAAAAATTTATTTAAATTTATTTTAGACTTTTGACAGGAGCCAATAACTTAAGAGAGAAAAGTAAGAATACAAAGAATAAGAAAAGAAAATACAGACAAGTGAAAATGGTGAAAAATAAGTACCAATATAGTTTAGGAGAAATTATTAAACTTGTCCCTAAGAAGCAGAACTTTTGTTACTCTTAAAGGAAAATAATGTTGGCATTTTTGTTTTTCAAAATAAAGTATGTTGAAAAATTTAGACTTTAAAAGTTTGCTTTTAATTTTTTGGTGGATTTATAGTTCAATAAACATTTAGAACCTTCAAATTTATTTCAATCTTTATTATTATTATTGCTGTTCTCTACCTTGACTTTCCTGAAGTTAATGATGGGAAACCTAACATCAGTGACAGAATTCATTCTTCTTGGACTGACAGATAATGTCATGCTTCAAGCTGTGCTTTTCCTTTTTCTGCTTCTAACATATTTCTTGAGTATCATGGGAAATCTGACCATCATCATTTTGACCCTACTGGATCATCACCTCCAGACACCTATGTATTTCTTCCTCCAAAATTTTGCAATTTTGGAAATATCTTTTACCTCTGTCTTTGTTCCCCAAACTCTAGTCAATATTGGAACTGGAGACAAGACTGTCTCTTTTGCTGGTTGCTTCACTCAGTATTTTTTTGCAATCCTTCTGGGAGCAACCAAATTTTACCTTTTAGCTGCCATGTCTTATGATCACTATGTTGCCATTTGTAGACCTCTGCATTACACAGCTGTAATGAGCAAGAGACTTTGCATTCAACTTGTCCTAAGTTCCTGGCTCTCTGGTTTTGTAATTGTTATTGTGTCACATATATATCAGCTGCCTTTCTGTGCATCCAATGTCATCAATCATTATTGCTGTGATTAGACTATATTATTGCATTTGTCCTGTGTAGACACACATTTTGTAGAAAGGATTCATTTTGTCCTTGCTGCAGTGACCCTAATCCTCACCTTGTTTCTGGTGATTCTTTCCTACACCTGCATTATCAGGACCATTCTGAGAATCCCTTCCATTCAACAGAGAAAAAAACCCTTTTCTACATGTTCCTCTCACATGATTGTGGTCTTACTTTCTTATGGAAGCTGTATCTTCCTATATATAAATCCTTCTGTCAAGGATGCAGAAAATTTTAGTAAGAGGGTGGCTGTTTTAAACACCTCCATTGCCCCTGTGTTGAACCCCTTCATCTACACTCTAAGGAAAAGCAAGTGAAAAAAGCCTTCAAAGATATGGTAAGTAAAATGACAACTTTTTTTAAAAAGTGAAACTCTTTGAGGCTCATTGTTTTTATAATAAATATTTAGAATACCAGAGTTGTAATATGCAATTTTAATATATTTTCTACATTTTATTATTAGTATTCTTATGTATACTGGCACAATAAAAGTACTTTTTCATTGAGACATTTTTCATTTTACTCTCCTTAAACATATCCAGATGTATTGTATTTCTTGTGTGGGATGTAGCAGAATATTTCTCCCCCATTTCTCCCTACCTTATCCTGTTGTACAAAAATAAATTATTGCTAAAATTTGAAATAATTCTATATATACATGTACATATATGTATGTGTATGTATATAGATACATATACATATGTGTATCCAGATGTGCATGTGTGTGTCCTCTAACCCTTCATTGTTATTTTCTTTATTTAGACATCACTTTTAAAGAAAAGACATGAGTAAAGTCAGAACTGATATTTATATTCCAATCCTTTAAACATTTACATGAAGAAATATAAGTCCTAGAGATTTACCAACTTTTATTACAGTCTGTAGGTAGTGCCAAATTTGTATTTTGAATTCTATTTTTCAATTGAGTAATAATGGATAATTCAATACATAGTAGAGACATTGATAGAGTGTTGCAGTAAACTGTAGAAGAATAAATTGATTTAAAATGTATTATTTGTCAATTCCTGTATAATTATCCTTAATTTTCAATGTCATCTAAATATCTAACATACAGTTGATGTTAGTTGATTAGTTATTTTGTAATGTAGATAGATGGGTAATTGAGTCATGAGTTCATTCATACATTTATTTATTGTTTTAAATACCATAATCAGTATATTAATTATATCCACTAAAACATTCTCTCACTGTGTGGTTGCTCAGTTTTAAAACACAGATTTAGGTATTAAGTACAGTTATGAATTTTAATAATAGAGATTGTTCTTTTAAAACACACAATTACATGTATACACAAACACACATTTTGAAAGCCAAGTCAGAGTAGCCTATTTAGTACATGCTATATTAATGCATTGAAATATCACAATGGGCCTGATTAATATTATAATTAATCTTTATTAGCCAAAATAAATTTAACTAAGCTTACACTTTTATCTGGAGGAAAACTAGTAGATAATAAAAATTGCAGAAAAGATGATTACTATTGAAGTCTATCAGCCTGTTTACCCAGAGATCTTTAATTTATAAACAATAATAAATGTTATTCAAATTATATGTAAGCTACATTTCACTTACAAATTAAGAAAATATTAAAATGGTGATTGCAGTTACTATTATTTTGCCTTTGAATATTGTGTCTTTGAGTCTTTAAAAATTAGCAATATGTATATAAAAGATAATGTTATTATTCATGAGATCAAATAAATAATATATTTCATTGTGGGAATGTTTGAATCAATTTTAACATTTCTATATGGCTCTAGAATTTTTCTCAAATGTGTTTTATTTTGACAATATCTTGAAACCTCTTCTTTGCAAAGTTGTTTCTGTTTGAGCTCTGAAGTGCTCACAATTTTGACAGGAAAAGTCAAGTGTAAGCCAATAGAACTACTGTAATAAAAAATAGTGCATCAAATATATAGCACTCAGGGAGAAATTGCAGAGAGTTAATATCACTAGCAAGTACATGAAAGACATAGATGTGATTCTTCCATTCATTTCTGCATTCAGCTTGCTAAAGTGGCCTACACAGAAAACCAGTAAATCCTTCAGGGTGACAGTAAATTGTCATAAACTTAATCAGGTGTTGGCTTCCCTTGAGGCTCATGCTCAAATTTTGGCTTTGCGGCAGGAAAAAGTCAATACATCCTACTGGAAGCTCTATATGAATGTCTTTAAATCTGTATCTGTTATTTTTAAATACCATGAGTAGCGTTCAGGTGGAAAGGTCAACACAGCAATGCATTGCCCCACCCTACCACAGGTGCACATCAACTCCAGTATTATGTCATAATCTAATCTTAGGAGAACTGATTGCCTTTCTCTTCATCAGAACATCACCCTATTCCATTTGATTGATGATTGTATACTGAGTAAGACCTTGTGAGCAGGAAGTGGCAAGAAATTTAGCACATTTGTAAAGATACATATTAACCAAAGGTGGAGAATAACTAAGTAAAATTAAAGGACTTGTCACTTCAGTGAAATGCTACAGATATCTTGCTCTGAAGATGTTAAAATCACTTGAAAACTGAAGTACAAGTTACTATATATGGTCCCTCCTACTACTAAGAAAGTGCTACACACCCATTGGGCCCCTTTTTATCTGGTGCCATGAATACCACAATTTGACTCTCCTATTTGTGCTGCCTTGAATAAGAGAGTCTCCCTCAGGTACAAACTTCATAAATATGTCAAGCATATTTATGCCATGTGAACCTCATGATCCAGCAGAATTGATGTTGCATGAGTTGCAGTGGCAAATAGGCATGCTGTATGTATACTTTTTCAGTTCCTTATAGGTGAATCACAGTACAGGGATTTAGCATTTTGAGAAAGTCATGCCATCTTCTGTGAATACTTATCCTTCTTTTCAAAACCTAATTTTGGGTTGTTATTGGGACTTGATACAGAATGAATGTTTAACCAAGTTACCATGCTACTTACCCAGATTGAACAAGATGTGGTCTAATTCTCCTAGTCGTGCAATATTCCATCACCGGATGGAAATGACATTGTGTCCCCTGAGTAATCAAGAGATGAATACACACATTGAGGCAGGCATTGGCAAGGTCAGAGGATACACTAAGCTTAGAGAACAGGTGAATCAGATCCATATGGTACCAGCAATTGCACTGATAATTCTTTTTCTGTTCATATTTATGACTTTATGGGAAATCATTTGTGGCTCAAATGTCTAATAGAAGTATATTCATGATGACAGTGATGGAGGCTATGTGTGGCCACAACAGCATGGACTCTGCTCAAATCTGGGCTAGCTACTGTTGCTGCTTAAAGTCAAGCTTAGAAGAAACACACACTAACACTGTGCTCATGATATGGCACAGTTTTGAAGGAAAACATACCAAACATTTACTTCATTCACTTGGTAGCAAGTTCACTACATTGGATCCCTACTACCTTACATGTATCAGATATTGATCTTGATTGGAATTTATAAATACTCTAGTCATAAGGGTTTCCTTCCATGCCTGTAGGACCTCAGATATCAAACTATCAGTGTCTGTTAGAAGCTTTACAGAATGGCTGACTCATAGAAGTAGGATCCAACACAATATTTCATTGGACCAGGGCCCATTTTCATGATGGAAATTTAATATTAGTTTTATGACTATAATCAATACAAGCAAATGACCTAATAAAATAATGGAATGGCCAATGAAGTCACAATTCTGGGGCCAGAGATGATAACCTGGATGAATGGGGCATCATTCTGTAGGATGATTTGTCCAAAAACCATCTGGCTGAGTCTTTTTGCTGTACTCAGACAGACATCATGTATAAATGAGGAAAAGCTCCTCCAGTTACTCCAGGCCACTGGCAAGTTTCTGTGAAGAGCATCTGTGGATCACAGTACACAGCAGCAGGTGGTAACTTTTAGCACAATGCTTCTGATATATTTCAATATCCCTTTTAATTGGATAACTATATATAGCCTCTAATCATTACACTATTTATTTGTGAAGAGAAACAAAAAAAAAAGTAAATCGTTTGAGTTTTGAGTGGATCTTGACTTGGCAATAGATTTGGAAGTAATAGCAAATGAAAGACCAAATTCATGTATGTGACTAATTAACACAAAGAAAATTGCCCTGCTAGAAAATACAGATATTGCATTGCAGAATCTGGCCAATAAGACAATTGTTCTTGCATCCTAAGGAAGGATAAGTGGGGCAAAGAATACAGCAGAAGCAGATATGGCAGAGATAGCCTTATTTACAAAGGAGATACATGTAACAGCATGTAAGCATTCTAAGCCCAAGATGAACAGATATGATGTCATTGGTGGGAGAACAACTGTAACTTTGAATTTCAATTTGTAAATATAGAAATATTTATTTCAATGGCATTCTCATAACCAGCAGGGAAAATATTAATTGACAAGTGATATGGGAAGTAAACTTTTTTCTAATTTTTCATTTTCTCTCTTTACTATGTTTGCTGATAGAGTCTCTCAAATGATATGGTCCAATCATTACATCACTTAGATCTAGTTGATTCATATAATATGTCATGAAAGTAGCTTCTTCAATGCTTTAGGACTTGTTTTCCTACGATAACTCAAAGGAGACAAGATAAAAACCTTTGCTACCAAAGACAAGAAAAGTCTGGAAAGTCATCAACAGTTGTGAAGTACAGTGGAGCAGGGAGAACATTTATTAGAGAGAAATATTAGATAGGAGCTTTTAAGTTGCTAGTGTAGACAATCCAACCTGAAATTATAAGAGTGCTTAGTTTTTGCCATGGTTCAATACAAGAAATCACATTAAATCATTGGTGTTCATACTTTTTTAGTCCTTTTCTTGGCTCTAATTTTCTGGCTTCAGAGTCAGGAAAACATGCTCTGCTGAATGATTTCCTAGAAGAATCAAGCTTATTTTTTCACAGCTCTAATTATAGCAGAAAAGTATGAGCTCACTAATGTGTAGATTTATTTAATTGACCTTCTTTTCTTTTTTCTTTTCTCAAATGAATTTGTTCACCTCCCCAATTCTAATTGTATTCTATTTATAGACAGAATGTGGTCCTTTGACAAGTCTCTTATAGAAACACAACCATCAACTATTCACAATAACCAACAATAACTAGAGATTCTAATGCTGTGATTGACTAACAGTGGTTTATAGACCTGTCCAAGAATGAAATTATTCTATGAAAAAAAGAATAAAAAATGAGAATGAGAGAAAGAGAGAGAGAGAGAGAGAGAGAGAGAATGAGGAGAGAATTATGAAACTATCCTAGGCATAGACTAATAATTATCCTCTTCAAGGCAGTTGAATATGTACCAGGCCATTTGCTAAAAGTGTAAAAAACATCCATAAGGTATAT